CCCTTGGGAATTTAAAGAAAAACTCAGTCAATCTAGATACTATGAGAAATCTTTTCATGATTGAATCATCTCTGTGAATTGAATATTGGAATTTTGGTAGCTGTTTAAAAAAGGACAATTCTAAATGGCGTCAATTAATTTTGATATGCGATATTTCTGAAACTAATGATCGTAAATCAGTGAAAGTTGATTCATCTTCTGGAATATTCTGTTCTGTACATATTTGATCTCCTGATATTTTTCGCTAACTGTAACCGTTTTCCCGAGGTACATCAATGAAACGGGAGAGACAATTTCCACTGCGTTGATTCTATGCCTACTAGTGTGAAGTCACGAAAGCGATGCTCCGGCCCGGTGAGATAGAGTAGGCCCTGCTCAAAGGCCACATATTTACAATGGTTCACGACCAAATAGCTAATGTGCGATTAATAACATTATTAGTATGATATCTCAGCATAGATATTATAAGAGTACAATTATTTATAATTATCGATATGTTGTACTGTTGTTTGTTTATTGCATTTATTTATTGTTAATTTTTTTTTGCAATTGCATACCTCGTTGGTCCCAGCACTGGGACCAAACGCCCCATGAGTCGAAACTTGTGCGGGGTTAGGTATACATACAAACACAAACATCCATGGCCTAACTAGGATTCGAACCTATGTCTCGGTGGGAGTCCCCATACGAACTCGCCTTAACGCTCTCGACCACTGTCGTTAAGTCCGTATGACATAAAACATTCAGAATAATCTGATTCATTTTATGAGGAAAAATCCTATGCTGCATGCCACGACATAAGATCACAGATAAGATATTTTGACAAGGGTCATGCGTATGTTAAGAAATATTATACAGGGTGTCCGCTAAAAGGAGGTCAATCCATTAACCATAGGAATATATGGTTAATGGATTGACTTCCTTTTAGCGTACACCCTGTATATCTACTACTAAGTAGATATATGTGAAATACATGCCGGTTGTGCGTGTATAGTAACCTCAAAATATATTTTTGGATGGTATTCAATATTGAAGAATGGTATAAGTAATTTAGTTTCTCTTGAAAAATATCTGTCTGCAGTTCTGGAGAAGTAGATCCTATGCTCAGCGTATTTAAAGAAAATCGGAATCGAAAAATATATATAATGAAATTGTCTGGTGAATTGCTCCAAAGAAGAAACACCCGTGGGCTAGAAGTTCTGAGTATGGTACAAAATGAACACTATTTTGGAAACCCTGTATTTACAAATTTCATAAGAATGAATAATGACCAGGTCACTTTTGTTCGGAACGAAATGAATCAAAAAAGATACCTACAAATATGCGAGAATGTATTCCACCAGAAATGAGGTAGGAACTCAATCCACATTTTGTCAAAGCATGTCAAAGCGTCTACTCGAGCGTTTCTGGGTATTTCATTGCAAACAAGATTGCAAACAAGATTGCAAACAAATATGGAATGTTTTTGGTATTCTTCAATTAAAGCACCAACATATGCTCCGAAGACCAAACCATTATGGAACTGATGTAATCGGAGATAACAGTAAAATTAATCAGTGGACAAACTATTTTTAGTTCATATAACATCAATTACCTTCTCCAAATACCAACAGAGTGACATAACCATGACCCCAGAAAATTGTTTCTCACTTCAAAACAAACAATTCGAAGGTTGAATAATGGCGTTATGCGCATGCGCTTCAACATAAAATGAATGAAAAATAGGACATGTTCTATTTTACATCCAATTTTGCATTCAGACTTTCTTTTTCTGTAATACACGGTGCAGTAAATTCTGAATACAAATTCTCATTCAGAAAATGACTGGAAAACTGGCCCGTGTCATATGGACTTTAACACTGAAAAGCAGTGCTTGTGACGTTATTGCGACAAGAAACGTTTGTGGTTTTGAGTTATAGATATTTGGAACGTTCCAAAGACTACGTACTAAATTGTTCTGAAATTGTTCTATCCGTCATTCGGTTGCCCCCTCACGTGCAATTCTCAGAAGTCTTCGAGAGTCTTGTGCGAGCAAGGAATGACGGGGAATCGAACCCACGACCGGCAAGCGAATGCGGATTGGAATATTGACACTCTGTCCGCACGGCTACTTGGCCTGTTCTCATATAATGTAGTTTTATCGAAAAGTTCAACTTTGTCGTAATAACTGCAATATATGTATCTACAATGTGACCATTTTCGTTGGTTATGTATTCGATTTTATGACAAGAATAAATATATGCCAGAGCGAAAATCTAACTCGCTTTGCAAGTAAACATGCGCATTTCAAAAATTTTTGAAAGGATATGCAGAGGAAGTAGGTACCTACCTACTAACATCAACAGTAAAAACGAAAAATCAGCGAACCCCTGTGGGGATGCAAAAAATGAAGAAACTCGTACGAAACTTGGTGAAAAATGTGCAAGGAACAAGTTTCCAAATCATACATACATCATCGCCATGCGGAGTCAAGTGGAGTGATTCTGAAGAAGGAAGAAATTGAGTGTAATATCAAAGCTGTTGAAGAATAACCTACCTATCTACTTGTTTTAACTTCAAAGAAAAATGGAGGAATTGGGCATTATAGTTCACGATAAGAATTTTAGAACGCTGTAATGAATGATAATTAATGAATAAAAGTCAGTTCTAAGATTACATCGGTTAGCGACAAAAATATACCAACATAACATCTATTTTCAATCACACGGAGTTCGAAGTTGTTATGGTGTCGTTACATAGTTAGTACAACTTTATTTAACGTGAACTATTACAGCAGTGGTCAGATCGATTACATTACGACTCCTTCATCTCAGTTATTGGGATGTCTCCAAGACATTCGCTAATCATTCGATGAAAGTTTATAGCGGAGTAATTACAACTTTTCGATACACAAAGGATGGCATCCATGTTCTTTGTTAAAACGATTATGAAATTTTAGTAGCCATTTTGCAACAAAAATATTGTTAACGAAAAATACACAACTATATGGGTGTGATATGTTCTTGAAATACAATGAAGATGGACAAATGAGATATATAACGTATGATAGTCACGTGATTTTGAAGATTCATGGGAAAAATCAATAACATATATTCTTCCAGAAATGAGAAATTATCCTTACTCTGCATTATTTTTGAGGCCCATGACTTTAAATGGAGTAGGATTGAATTTAGTTCGTCAAAATGGAATTGTTCAGTCACTCATCTATGGTCCAATGTTAAAAATTTTCAGTCAAAAAGAATATTCCATGTCACCTCCATGATAATATACAGTAGGTAACTATCATGATATGGCAGTCATCTGAAGAAAGTAGGTTATGGTAAAGAAACTGAATTATATATTATAAAAATAATATCTTACAATCATTATTCCAGATATCTTGGGAGTTTCTATGAAATAAAATTATGAATATTATTACAATATACGTGTAGTGGGGATACATCAGATGATTCGCCCCGAAATGTCACTACGTTTAATGGAATTCCCTATCAAAGAGCCTAAAAGAAGAATTCACTAGCTTGTCAGTGACAATCTGCATTGAAAAAGGTTTGGAAAAGAGAAATAAGGGTATATAGAAGGAAATATTGGATTTTCACATAGCTTTGGACGTTTCGGGAACGAATCTGCTCCCATTTTCAATATAAAAATTGATATTTGAATAGCAATTTTTTTATTTGTCTTGACACTTTTCAGTTCTCAGTGACAATTGGTGACGATGGCAATCAAATGAGTTACAGGATGCTTTCATTAATTAATCTTGAATTTACCATTTTCATTTTCAGATTTCAGTAGTGAATACCATGTTCTTTCTATATCAACTGAACAGGAAGCAATGCTATTGTCTCCGTTCAGAAGACTGCAAGCAGATTCCTTCCTATACTTTTCTATCCGTTATCTTCTACTTCAATGATTTTAATATTATTCCATTCTGCCATATCTTGTCCATCTTCAGTAAGGATATGTTCAGCTAATTTCGATTTGTCGATGTTTTTTTTTATACTGTACATTGTAATTGTACTTACGTTTGTTCGTCCTTACTGAAAGAGGTATCTTGGTTTCACCTGTATAAAACTGTTCACAAACACAAGGTATACTGAAAATACAATGAGATGACCAATTCTAACTCAAAAATAGCCGAAAAATTAAGAACAATCGTCAACAAATTGTATTCACAGTATACCTTGTGTTTGTGAAAAGTTTTATACAGGTGAAACCAAGAGACCTCTTTCAGTAAGGACGAAGGAACATAAGTACAATATAAAGAAAAGACACATCGTCACCAATGGTCACTGAGATCAAGACAAATAAGGAATTGCTATTCAAATATCCATTTATTATGTTGAAAACAGGAGCAGATTCGTTCCTAAAACGTCCAAAGCTGGATGCAAATCAGATTTTTTTCTATATACCTTCATTTCTCTTCTCCAAACCTTTTTCAATACAAATTGTCACTGACAAGCTAGTGAATTCATCTTTTAGGCTCTCTGATAGAAAAGTTCTTTAAACGCAAGGACAAATCATCTGATTTGATCTAACTACACGTATATTGAAATAATATTCATATTTTCATTTCATGGCAACGAAGAGAGAAAATCCCAAAAAATCTGGAATAATGAATGTACCACCTCCCCGATTAACCTACAGACAGTATTAAATATCTCACAACTTTTGATATAATAAACGTATCGTTACATTTGAACTTTCATCTTCTGACCTTCATGCATGATGATATAATGACATCAAATGACTACACAACGGACGTACAAATAATATTCCAATACAACTCTTCTGTGACTAACCTATATAAGTCTATATCAGCAAGTCATTACGACTACGAAATAACGTCGATGTGACGTCGCAAAAGTGCGCCCTTCAATCGTATCGCCATACATACCGACGTTTGAGCATAATGCAAGACATAAAGTCACGGACTTTTTAACATGGTCTTGTAGATGTCTGTACAACTCATTTATAACCTATATGTGCTACTTGATGGGTACCTTCTACCTCCGTTATCCAATTCAATTTTTTCTCCTGGATTGATTGCAGCTGCGTCTATGATGCCAAGCCAAGGAAGGATTTCGGTTCCATACCAAACTTGCGCTCTCACAGGAGTCCTACCGATATTTTGTACTACATAATTCTCTTGTGGCTCAGGAATTACACCAGAATTGTCTTCGAGTACGAAAGCTGATTGATTTCCATTAACGGCAATTGTATGGTCATCGTACTGATAATGGCTGGCTATTATTAAAATGAATATTGATGATGGTGTCATTGCTTACAAGAAACTCAGGTGCTCTTCTATCATGAACCCCTGGAAAATAAGAATTGTGAGAATTACTCATTCAGCACCAGACGTCTTGAAGAAGTCCGACTTATGTCTGTACGTCCAAGGACGTATAAGGAACGTCTTTAACACGTACACGATGTACAGGTTGGGCCAAATTGGACACTTTTAAAGTGGAAGTCCTATTATCGGTGTCTGAGGGTCGATTCTCATGAAAAACTCAATGGTGAAATAAAATCCGCATATCGCTATCTGTCTTCGTTTCAAATGGGCATTTTCGAAAAGTGGCTAGATATTTTTTTTGCAAAAATTGTCAGTTGAAAATATGAAAATAACTGCAAAAGCATTTAGTTGGTCATAAAAATTGTTCTTGAGGCACTGAAATAGGTCTTCCTATATCTAGTTCAAGAATATAACTTGTTCTTCTTAAAGGAGAATTTATGTTTTGCAACTAGGTATACGGTGACAAATTTCAGTGCCTGAGGATCAATTCTCATGACAAACACAATGCTTTTGAAATGTTTTCCTGAAAACGAAGAATTTTTGCCAAGGAAGGAGATTTAGCACTTTTCAAAAATTCACACAAAGGTATATCCCTAATAAAGATGTTCTCTATCTCTCTCTCTCTCTCTCACATTTTCAAAAAACGCCTTGTAACTGTGAAATAAAGAAAGATACCGATATGCGGTTTTCATATTTGAGTTTGTCACGTGAATTGATTATTAGGCACCGACATCAGTTACACCGTCATCTTGTACGGGAATAGGGATTACCCTTCAAAAGGCCCACCCTGTACATCTTGGAGACGTACATTTCAAGTCCTATCCACGACATTCCTCCCAGGACGTATGAAAGACGTCTCAAAAAAGTACATTCAATGTACGTCAATCCGACGTATTCGATCAAAATTCTGAATTTTGAACACCAACCTGTATTAGTTTCAATTGAATGATGAATAGATGATAAATCAGAAGTTGAGACAGGGGCATGAAAACCGTTTTGGCCGATAATGAATAGTTTCGACACAAAAGTTGAAAAAATCTCAATTTTCAACACCCTATATATCTGTAATCATTTCAGCTAGACCCCAACTTTGATGAATCGATGAAATCACCTCTCCAGGGAGAATCTAAAAATGCAATGAAATACAATAAAAGGTATTGAAGAATTCATACATCTTGCCCATAACTTTTTTTGAGATGTTCAATTGTTTTTCTGTTAACATATTCAAGATCTACAGGAAAAATCATAAAAGACTGTTCTTCGGAAAAAACAATTCGATGATAAATAAAATAGTTGAGAGGGGGTTCAAAATATACGTTCTTCTTTTCTCAAGAAAAAATAAATAAAACAGTCACCTCTTCCCGTTTTATATTTTCAACTTTTCAGTTGTTTCTTATCAACAAATGTTTTTAAATTCGTTTGCGTCCGTCAATTTGGAGCCTTAGTGTTAAATTCTCGAATTTTGGCAAAGAAATCGTAATACGAAACCCCTGTCACCAGTTTTGAATGAAATTGGATTATAATCACAAAACTCGTCCGCCATTTTGGAAGCCGTGATCTTGAATTTCTTGTTCACGACAAGAGAATCATATTTTTTTTATCTTTTGGAGTGCAAGAAGTGAAATTCCTATAATGCTCGAGCATCATCGCGCGTTTCTAAGAAGGACAGAGAGAGGAGGTAGGTGTTGGATTTTTTTTGGAACTTTTGGAGGTTATGAGTTCTTGGGAATACTCCCATTGGCAAAGAATTACAAAGCATTGCCGTTCCACAGAGTGTTTTTCGACGAAGGGATGTGCTGACTGGGTCTGTCGAGTTTGTCTGACTGGTATTGCTAGTGATTGAATTATAGCAGAGATTTCTGAGGAACATTTCCCGCGTGAAAATCTATGAAAAAGTGAAAAGTCGACAACTTTTCTACGGTGTTTTGATAGGGTCAAAGAGTTGGTGAGTGTGGCATTGCCCACCAGGCGAAAGGCTCTTTTCTGGATGAAATCTAAGACCCCGAAAACCTCCAGTTACAACGTTTGAATCGAATCCGAACATAATCAGAAAAGTATTATATTCTGCCATATTGGAGTTGGAGCAATCATGAATTCTTCTATCCGGACAAAAATAGCATAATCTCCAACTCCTGACCGCGTGCTGACATCTGTAAGCGTGTTTTGCTTATTAAGAGTGATGCTACAAAAGCTTACTGATTCATGCACTGCTCTAAAAGGGACCCACTTCAGTAGGATTTCGATATCAATTCGATTACAGTTATTCAGGGCGTTCACCACTGTCCAAATCCGACGGCACATTAGCAACAACATCGCATGAGACAGCTAATATTTTTGCAGAGATGTTCGCAGCAAACTCTACTTTAGATTCCCAAGGAAAAGTGCCGCCAGACATTCCACCGGATGAGAGTCGAATGCCCCAAATCGTCTTTCGTCAACGCTCTATCAGACGAATTTTGCATGGTCTCAAAACGAATAAGGCTAACGGTCCTGATGGAATTCCACCCATTATCCTCAAAAACTGTGCACCAGAATTAACACCGATTCTCTACAAGTTGTTTACCGTCTCGTACAGGTCGTCATGCTGGAAGACAGCTAGAGTCCAACCAATCCCCAAAAAAGGAAACAAGAACCTGCCCAACAACTACAGGCCCATTGCCCTGTTATCAGTTATCTCCAAAGTGATGGAGAAAGCCATCAATATTGAGCTTTTCAAATATCTAGAGAGCTCAGGAATCATCAATGATATATAGACAATACGGCTTTCGCCACCGAATATCTACTGGAGATCTACTTGCCTAGGTCACCCATTTATGGCAAGCTTCATTAGAAAAACACGGGGAATCTCTAGCTGTCGCGTTGGACATATCGAGAGCATTTGACCGTGTTTGGCACGAAGGACTCCTCCACAAACTACCATCATACGGCTTACCACCTCAGCTATGCCATCTCTTATCGAGTTTTCTTTCAGGCAGATCGCTTCATGTGGTGGTGGACGGTGTATCGTTTGATACCATTGGCATCAATTCCGGCGTTCCACAAGGATCAATTTTGGCATCAACATTATTCCCATTTTTTCCCAGGAAACTAAGAACTCACGGCGCAGGTAGATCAATGCTGTCAATGAAGACCTTGCTGAAATCACAGCCTGGGAACCAACTACCTAGTTGAATTCAACGCCACCAAAACTCAATCCTGTATTTTCTCTAGAAACGCGGAACCTAGTATGCCCGACATTGTAATGTCTGGCACCACCATCCCCACCAAGCCCACCATATCTATGCTTGGTATTTCCATCAGCAACACTCTTTCATGGGATAATCATGTCAGATCCATCGCAAAAGCTGCTTCACAGAAACTCGGATTCTTGTTCCGTGCGAAAAGCTACTTTACACCTCAACAGCTTCTCATGATCTACAGAGCGCAGATACGGCCTGTTCTAGAATACTGTTTCCACATATGGTGTTCAGCACCAAAACATACACTCACTCACTCTTCGACATCATTGGAACACCGTAGAAAGGTCGGCGACCTTTCACTTTTCTATCGATACTCCCACGGGAAATGTGCTTCGGAAATCTCTGCTATCGTCCTTTCACGAGCAATACCAGTCAGACGAACTAGACAAGCCCAGTCAGCACATCCTTTCGTTGTCAACCTCGAAAAATGTCGAACAGCACTTCACCAAAACTCCTTCATCCATAGAACGCCTAGGCTCTGGGATTCTTTGCCTGGGGAAGTATTCCCAACAATATATAATCTCCAGAAGTTCAAATTCTAATACTTACCTCCTATCCCTATCCTCCCTAGGAACGCACGATGTTCTTTGAACATTATAGGGATTCTCTTTCGTGCGCTCCAAGCAATAAAAAAAAAAGATACAGATCCGGTTGAAGAAATTATGTCAATGTTTTCAAATGGAAACCCCCCAATTTTATATTCTCATGCGATTCGGCATACTTGCATCAAGATTTATTTTTTCATATATGATGCCATGAAATAGTAGTTGAATTTTGGATTGAAGGTTTTGACAAAAAATAAATAATTTTTGAATTTGTCAAAATAAAGATTTAATTTCATTTTTTATGGTGAAAACTTGTTGAACCTCATGATAAATACCTTGGGAGGCTTCAACACGTAGTTCGAAGAAAGTGTGCATCAATACTCTGAGCCTTTTTTTATGTTCCACGAAAAGAGGTATCCAGCAATGTTCCGAGAACGTGAGAACCAAGGAAAATAAGGTAGGAATTGGTGTTCTTCTTGAATTTCTGGAGGTTATATGCCTCGGGGAACATCTCCCTTGGCAATGTGTTCCAGAGCCTCGCTGTTCGTTGGATAAACGAGTCTTTGGAAAGAGATGAAGGCCTGCATGCTCCGTGGGTGACGTCACTTAGTCAGGCCTAACAAGCGGCTCGAAACGACAAGCGCTTATATCGCTATAAGGCGACCGCGTATTTCGATTTTAGTTTTAGATCATTATTGAGCCGATGTTGCTTTTTTTGAAGGGCTTCCGGTTGAAAGAGGATGCCAGCCGTCAACTGAGCCCTTCTTCGCGTCCCATTCGATTTTATTATGGAAAAACGAAGTTTCAAAGCAAAAACCAGAATGAAACACAAATACCCACCTACAGCAACCCATTCGAATTAAATATATTGGCAAAAATTGTAGTGATTCAATCTCATTAGAGGTAAACTTCACACCTACTTATACAGGGCCCGCAGAACATAAACTTATCATGAGATTGATCGAAAGAAAATTGGGGAAAACGTATTTTATTAGTTTGATAGACATGCCGTTTGTTATACCTCATCACCTATATTCATCTTGGAGAATTCCTATTACCTAAAAAATAAGCCAGTGAGTGTTTTCAATTTCCTGTTGTTGAATTTTTTACCCAATTGGTCGTTAGACTTGAAACAGTAATTTTTAAGTAGAGTGTTTGTAGTACATGTTAATATAATAGTTGCAATTTGATCATTGGAATGAATTCTGCATTCATTGCCACGAGGCGAAATAAATGACCA